TCTGAAAGAAATGTCTGCTGCTCGTACCATTTATTCTATTGGCTATTGTCTTTGGTTACATGGAAGGTGCAATCAAAAAGTCTATTCTATCACTATCTTCACAAGCTGTTAAAACCAGGTGGGGAAGGGCTCTTTATCTCCAGCAGGACTCAGCCCTGATAACACTCTCCAGGGGGCCATCTCTGCTAATGGGCCATCAAGGGTTCTGGGAATGACTCATGGAAATACATCATCCCATTGTGAGATGCCCTGCCCAGAGAGGAGGAACTGGACCTCCCTACCAGCATATAAACTGAGGCACTGGAACACTGGGACACTTCTTCCACTGCATTCCCAGAGGAGAGGAGCTTGAGAACCACTACTGGACCTTCAGAGACGTATTTGACCTGTCTTCAGGATCACTGCTTCAACGAGAGCACATCCATCATTCCAACGGACTGCAGCCACCACCATGCCCAACAGTGTGTCAGGTTGTATTCTGGCTCTGTCAGTTTAAGCTGTTGTTGTTTCTGTATTATTGCCTTTAATTTAATTACAGCCTATTAAACTGTACTTTTGACTTAGAATCTCTCGCAACGTATTTGTGTGGGGGTAATTACTCTGCTGTTTTTCTTTCAAACTGGCACAGCTATTTAGAAACATGTTATTTTAATCTGATGGTAAAAATATTATAAAGACTCCATGCATTTTTAGTAGATATTTCTAGTTATATCACAGTTGGGGACCATGCATTTTCATTATGCTGCACTCCAGCTCGTTCCCAGTGATCCCCATACCTTTTTCCATCTTCTTCAACCTCTTTTCCTGTTCTCCAGACCCTTTTCATGTTCTCCAATCCCTTTCCATCTTCTTCAGCTCCTTCTCTAGTTTTTCAATCCCTTTCCCACATTTTCCAACCCCTTCTCCAGTTCCCCAGACACTTCTTCTGTTTTCCAGCCTCTTCTCCCATTCCCATTCCCATTCCCATTCCCATTCCCATTCTCATTCCCATTCCCATTCCCATTCCCATTCCCATTCCCATTCCCACTCCCATTCCCATCCAGCCTCTCTCCCAAGGCATAAAATTCACAGCCCCTGGAGGGAATGTTCTCCCGCTTTCCCACCATCCAGGCCTCTGCCAGTGGACAATTCCCCATTCCCGTGATGTTCAATTGGGATTTAGCCCCTGACACAGAATTTTTCAGGGAATTCATGGAAACCCCCAGACTCTGTGCCGGGCCTGACTGAACCCATCCAGGAAAAAGCTGGAGCGCAAAGTCCCAGCTAAGTGTTGACCTTGGCCGTGTCCCAATTCTGGAGTTTTACTGGAAGCGTGGATGGGTCAGAGCCTCCCTTGCCCTCCCCAGCCCAGTTCATCCCAGTCCAAACCAGTCGAGGGGCTGGGGTGGGATATCGGGAAGGAAGTTTTCCCTAGAAGTATCCATGGGTCTTGGAGTGGCAGGAGGTGTCCCTGYCCATGGAATTGGGTGGGATTGGGGATTCTCCCACTCTGAGCTGTGTTGATATGGAATAATAAATAAATATACCGATAAATCCTGTTAAATTCATGGAATCATGGAACAGTTTGGGTGTGAACGGTTCTTAAATCCCATACCATGGATCCCATCCCGTACTATCCCATCCCGCTATTCGCTATTGTCCCAATCCCATCCAACCTGGTGTTGGGCACTTCCAGGGATGGGGAATCCACCACTTCCCTGAGAATTCCATCCCAGCCCCTCCCCACCCTCCCAACCAGGAATTCTTCCCAAAATCTCACCCAAATCTCCCCATTCCCAGTGGGAAGTCCCATCCCTCCATCCCTTGTCCCAGATCCCTCTCCTGCTCTGGGCTCTCTTCCCTTCTCCAGGGGAAAATTCCCAGCTCTCCCAGGCTGATCCCAGAACCGAGGGGCTCCAGCTCCTCTGGAATTGCTCCAGGTCTTTTCTGAGGGACAGAATTCCCCTGGGAATGAGCCCCGGATATGGAGGATTCCCGGGATGGGGCGTGTCCATCCCCTCATCCCAAATCCCTCTCCAGGGCATTCCTGGGGTGGGGTATATCCACTCTCTCATCCCAAATTCCTTTCCCAGGGCTACTGCAATTCCCAGCCTGGAGCAATCCCAGACCACCCTTGGCTTTTCCATATAAAATAAATGGGAAAGGCGTTTGTAAAGGGATGGGACAATCCCAATGGGATCATCCCATTCCACTGGGAGCACTGGAATGAGAATCACCCCCTAGGGTGGGGGTTAATTTGGGATCATCCTCGGGAAAATCTCTATGGGAAGTGAAGGGGGTGGGGCTATCTCCCGCCATGTTCCTGGGTTTTGCTGCCAGATTTCTGGGAGAGGAGCCCTGCATTCGCCAATTTACCACTGGACGAGCAGTTAATGATCAACCCGGAAATCAAGGAGGAATTGCCGAGGCTTTATCCTGGTAAATGATTAATTCCGGAAGGGTTTCGTGGATTGTCTTGAGCTGGACCCTTGGAATTAATGAGAAAGGACTAATTCCTTGGAAATTCCTTGGAAAAGGGGTTTCTGAGGGGGTTTTATCTCACAGGATCCTTTGTTGGGTCACACTCTGTCACTGGAATTTTTTAGGGGTTTTTTGCAGAAACTCTGGGATCGAGCAGGTGAGAAGAGCTGGGAAATGGGGGAATGGGATGAACTGAGGGGTGAGAATCTGAAGGTACATCTGAGAAGAGGCTTTGGGATGCTGGGATTGGGATCTCTGGAACGGCTCTGGTGAGGATGGACAGGAAAATTCCATAATTAATGCCAGAATGATTCATAAAAATCTGGGGCTGATCCTCTTCCACCTGCCCGGGACTGAAGGAATTTCAAAGGAATTTTCATGAAATTTTAAAATGAATTTGAATGAATTAAAAAAATTTTTTACATTAATTTTGAAATTAATGAAAGTTCAAGTAAAGGATTTTAAATGATATTTTTACATCTTTATATCAATATATTGTTTAATATTTATATTTATGCATTTATTTGTATAATAATTACTATTAATAGATTAATTGCTTCCTATTAATATTTTTATTAATTTATTTATTGATAGAAAAAAAGTTGACATTTAAAATAAAAGCTCTGAGCATACACAAATTAGTTTATCAATTAATTATTATTTGTTACTAATAAATTGGTTGTTATTATTTCATTGATATATTAATGTATCAATAATTTATCAATTTTATTTCTTTCTCATATCTCGATTCCTGTTAATATATTAAAAACATTGTCAATATGAATATATCAATTAGCATTATTATTATGCTAATATAATGATATTTATGGAAATGAATCTTTCAATTATTGAGAATAGAATAACTTATGAATTAATCAACTGGTTAATAAGTTTGCATATTAATGCCTTGATTGCTATTAATATTTTTATTAGTTTCTTAATTATTTTTCACATTAGTATTAATATTAATTCATTTTAGTTACAGATTACAGTTAATTACAGATTTAAATTAACTGCATATTTAATGCATTAATTTGTATAGAATGGACCTGTCTCAAAATTAACTTCAATACTATTATTAAGATTCATTTAATTAATATTAATGTTGGAATACACACTCAAATTTACTTATTAATTCTAATATTAATTTTCTAGTATTAAATATAAGTGATTAATATTAATATTAGAATATAGATTTCAGAATATGAATGTATTTATTAGCTATTAATATATTGACTTCTACTAATAATTGTATTAATTGCCAATAGCTATTATTAACGTTTCATTATTATCACTATTTCCATTCATCTATTGGTTACTATATCAATACATTAATTGGTTTATTAATAATTAATTAATAAACTGATAAATTAATAGCCTATTAGTGAATCCATTTCTTTCCTCTCCTGAGATCAAACCCTGGAATCCTGGAATTCCTGAGGCGGGAAAATCCTTTTGGGATCACCTGATCCAACCCTAAAACCCACATCCCAAAATTCTGCATCTGAACAATCTGCCTCTACCACGGGCAGCCAGAAAAGTTTTTCCGTGGAATTTCCTATTCCTGATGTTGGATCTGGGATCAGAAGACTAAAAGTCCCACATTTTCCCCACTACATCAACACCACAAATACCCCTATTCCCACTATTTATTATTCCTGAATACCAGAGGCTCATTTTCCACGAAATTCCAGAAAATTCCAAGGGCTCTTGATGCTTCTTTTTCCCAATTCTGGACGATTTTATGGCAAATCCCTCTAATGCCTGGCTCTTCCCACTTTTATCTCCTCCCTGAGAGCTCCAGGGTGACCTTTGGAAAATCCAGGATGGTTTTAGGGCCGAAATTCCAGGGCCCAAAAATGCATGGAGCCAGTGGAGGCTCTTGCAGGGCAAGTTTCCCTCGATCCCCATGGATTTTTGGGATCTCCAGGGGGTGGGAAGCAGGTGGGTGCTTCCCCCTCTACGTGAAATCTGGCTGCTTTTCCTGGGAATTTCATTGGACTGATAGATTTTTATTTTATGTAGATTTGGGTTTTATATCCATTGATAAATCCTGAGCTCCGGGAGTTTCCTGAATCCTTAGTTTCCCACGGGATTTCCTTCCCTTACTTTTTCCCTTTTTTTCCTCTTTTTTTTTTCCTTTTTCCCTTTTTTTCCCCCCTTTTCCCTTTTCCCCCCTTTCCCCTTTCTTTCCCTTTTATCCTATTTTTCCTTTTCTCCTTTTCCCTTCCCCCCTTTTCCCCCTTTTTCTAATTTTTCCTCTTTTTCACCTATTTCCTTTTTCTCCATTTTTCTCTTCCCTCTTTCCTCTTCCCTTTTTTCTCCTTTTCTCCTTTTTCCCTTTCCCATCCCATTCTCAGTTTTCCCTCCCCTCTCCCACCTTCCCATCATTTTCAGGGACTCTCCCCACAGACCCCAAGATCTTCCCAAGGAATTCCCTCCCTGCCCAACCCVAAATCAGGGAATGGGGCCTTGGATCAACCCCAGATCCAATGGGAGCTGGACTCCGATCCCTGAATTCCTCCTTCACCCCTGGAATTTCCCCTTTCCCGCAGGGATGATAATGGCAATGAGAATGGGAATGGGAATCCTGCTGCTCCTCCCGGTGCTCTCCATGCTCCATCCCACAGCGGGTGAGTTTATGGGATCAGGGAATTGCTTGGATGGGAAAGGAACTCTGGGATTGTCCAGTCTGAGATCATTCCCATGGGCCCTGTTATCCCTGTCCTGGGATGTTGAACCCAAGGAATTTGGGAAGGTTGAAGACACAAATTTGGGAATATTGAACACAAAAAATTCAAGGATATTGAACCCAAATTATTTGGGAAAGCTAAACTCGAACAATTCTGGGATGTTAATCCCAAACAATTCCATAATGTCAAACCCAAAGAATTCCAGGATATTGAACCCAAAGTATTTCAGGATATTGAACCAAACAATTTGGGAATGTTAAACCCCCAAAATTCAGGAAGATTGAACCCAATAATTCTGAGAATGTTCAACCAAAACAATTATGGGCTGCTGAACCGAAACAATTCAGGAATGTTGAACCCAAAGAATTTGGGAATGTTAATCCCCAAATAATTTGGGCATGTTGAACTCAAACAATTCCAGAATATTGAACCCAAACAGTTTGGGAATGTTGAACCCAAAAAATTCCAGAAACACTAAACACAGACAATTTGAGAATGTTAAACCCAAAATACTCCAGAATATTGAACCCGAATGATCACAAAATATTGAACTCAGTAAATTCTGGGAATGTTGAACTCAAACAATTCTGGAAATGTTGAACCCTGATGATTCTGGCTGCCCTGGAGCAGGAATTCTGGGATTTTTCCCATCCCTTGGATCCATAGGGACTGTTCCTGCCCCATTGCTGATCCTGGAGGGGCCGGAGCAGGATGGGATCCGCCTGCGGTGCCTCTCGGAGCGCCCCTTTGCCACCGTCCGGCTGCTGTGGACGGACAGGAACGGGGAGAACCTGACGGGAATTCCACTGCCCACGGACACCGGGGATGCCGGCAGCTCCCTGCTGCTCAGGCCGGGATCTGGGAATTCTGCATCCTGCCGGATCATCGATCCCCAGGTCGGGACATCCTCGGAATCTTCTGTCGTCATCGCTGGTGAGACTCCAGGAAAAATGGGAATTGGTGCCAGTTATCCTGGGAATCTATATTTTAGCAGAATAATTCATGGATTTTTAAATTTTTCCATGTGTTTCCCGGTCTTTGAGCCACGGAAAGCTTCCAGATTGTCAGGGATGTTTTTCATTGGGCTTGGGGATGAGGCTTGGGATGGAATTTCCAGTTTAGGGATAGAAAATTCCTGGTTTGAAGATGGGAAATTCCCAGTCTGGGGATGGAAAATTCTTGATTTGGGGATGGAATTCCTGGTCCGGGTATTTGAAATTCCCAGTTTGGGGATGGGAAATTCCCAATTTAGGGATGGAAAATTTCCAGTGAGCTACTCCCACTGGTGTCTGGATCCATGAGAATCTGAATATGTCCCACTGGAGAATTCCCTGCCCCTGGAAGGGGCTGGATCCAGGTCCCTCCCAGCCCAACCATTCCAAGATTCCATGGACAATCCAATATTCCCRGGATTTCTTTTCCAGACATTTTCTTCCCAGCCACCTCCCCCTGGCTCCCAGCGTTTGATGCTCCTGATCATTGGGATCTTCCTGGTGCTGGCGGCCTTTTATAAACTCCGGAGTGAGTCTGGGAACTTCCCTTCCCTTCCCTTCCCTTCCCTTCCCTTCCCTTCCCTTCCCTTCCCTTCCCTTCCCTTCCCTTCCCTTCC